TGACCGGAGGACGCGCGCAGTCGACGTCACCGCAAACGCGCGTTGATTCGGCCGCACGTAGTGTCATGTACGAATCCGTATCGGATCAGACCTTATCCACGTGCACAACAGCAAATGTACCGGTGTTCAACTACCGTACTCGCGTAGATTCGGGCGAGTAACGACACCGCATTCAAACGAACGCGCATTTATCCGGACAAGGATTTTCCAGAACTTCGGCAAGTGAAGCGCGACAAAGAATCTTATATGTACGTGCCTCGTATAAGAGTGCTTGTTTATTATTGTGCGTTGCAGAATGTGACCCGTGTGAAGAAATCGCTTTTTGAATAATTCATAAACGACGACTTAATTCCATATTGTGTCGGACGTGTGTGCCGCCATCCGTAGTTGTGGGGTATCGGGGAAAAGTCGACGAGAGACCGCGAGTTCGCGGGAAGGACGAATACGGGTGGGGGGTGGCAGGGAAATGTGCGTATAGTTCGGTCGACCGCTGCGTAGAGGGCGACGTGGTGCGTACAAAACTACTCTCTTCAAAATGCCTTAACCGACGTGACGTTAATGAACAATTTTCTTTGCCAAAGAATCGTCTCGAACGATTACTACCGGATTCTCGTGGTTTCCGCTACTGCCCTGCTCCCGCCATTCACTCTGCCGTGCGACGCGAGACTTTGCGTCGAGACTTTTGAAACAAATTCGATCGCAGTGGAGAGAACACGCTACGACAACGACGACGACGGTGGCGCCACGCCTAATGGAATTATGCAAAAATATTGCCGTTAAATGACATATCTGTCTGTAAAAGTGTATATATATTTATATATAATTCTACCGTACAAGACTTCTTCGTACATTATAATAATAATAATCAGAATTAGGAAGAAGAAGAACGAATTATAGCGCACCACTTACAATTCGTTTTTCTCGCGGTCGAGTTAAATTCGATTTCAGCGAAAATACCAGACATGCGATAATTAATCCCACCGTCCGGAGAAATAAACTGCGTGACGATGAAAATCGCGTTAAATCTAATTTTATAAAATCAAATACTCGCTCAAGTATAATAGCACTAAAACGTGTACAATGACGAACAGTATTCTACGCTTGCGCCAAGTCAGGTGCGATGTTTATTTGTTGTACGCCGTCCGCGTCTAGAGTCCGTAAATGCTGTTTTCATAATTTCTGTCTTTCGTGGAGGGAATAATGCGAAGACGTCGTCGCGATCGAAGGATTTCAACCAAATTTTATTTGGAGGGTGAGTGTTGGACTGCGTTGAAAAACTTCGGAAAGTACAGTCTTTCTCGCAAGAATAAAGGGCTGTAACGGTCGGGCACGCGGCAAAATATGCTTCATGACCCTTGTATTACATATATAAAATAATAATATATATAGTGTACGAAACCCGCATCACCGGGAAGAGATGCTGATGTACAGTAAATAAAATAACAAACTTCGACTAACAATACAACATACACGTGTACGCGCGCACACTGACGACAAAAACACAGACTTACAAATTTATGTGTATTACGCGTGGCCGATGAAAGTTAAATGAAATGTGCATATAATATTTGGGGTTGAGCGTAGCGCGTTGCGGGAGAAGGATATAGAGAGGCGGCGGGCGGCGATGAATAAATAGCCCAAAGGCAATCGACGACGGTAGGCAGCGGGCCGTATAACAAATAATAGACAACACATGTATATACATATAATACATTATTCACGTATATATAATATTGCATTACCTATGTTTGCATTGTGCAGTGTGTGTACAGAGCGGTCGTTTTAAAACCGAACTCGGCCGAGTATTCCCACAGATTCACATGCGTATTGATGTCTTTTTCCCGTTCCGTCGATTCGACGCGTGAATTTCGAGTTAAACACATACTTGTGTTCCCAATGACGCAAATATGAGAGATCGAAAATCGAGAGAATATTTACTTCCGCCTCCCTCGCGAAATGTTTATGTTCTAAACCTTAAGTAATCCTATATATATATTATTATATTTGATTATTATTCAAATCCCAACATACGTCTACTCGTATATTGACGTACACAAATGTATATTACACTAATATTTCCGAAATATCTGCTGCAGTTTTGGTGAAATACCATTTGAAAATGATTAGCTGCTAGGATAATATTTTATACAAAGTAAGATAAAATACATTGTAAGATTACATTACAATAGGCAAAATTGATTATACATTCGTAATCACCTATGTTGACGGAAGAACGTTTAAATGACCTTATATTTTTAAATTTAAAGAGCATTCACTATTATTATGGCTAAACAATTAATTACAATATGAAAACTGTCTTTAACAATTCAAAAGTAATACCTGGTCGCAATTTTATTATTATAAATATCATAAAATAAGTATAACAATCATACTTATATTATAGTAATATGATTTTTTGATTTATACATAATTATATAGCGGACGTATTTTTCTTTAATATACTATTTGTTGTCAATCACTCTGTATTCGTGTACCTCGTCATTTATTACTGCAATCCTTACCAGTGATACGAAAACAATTGACGTTTTCATATTCCATGAGCAAATATCTCGAGTAATGCACGCGCGCAACCCTAAAGCCGCCGCGATTCCAAACTAAACTACCCTCAAGCAAATGGTGGTGGTGACAGCAGCATTCGGTTACACGGAACGTTTAGCGACAATATGATAAACAATAAAAATAATTATAATAATGAAAAAAGCAAAGTTGACCAATTACACGAAGTGTATACAGGGACTCACTCGATTGGAAACAGCCACGTGGTGGTATATGCATACTATGTATACATGGGTGAAAGGTCGAAACCTTTGATTTTATATCACGGGAGCAATGTCAAATTTGTAGTAATAAATTATGTACTTTGATGTATTCAACCGATATACGAATAACATAACACATTAATCCAAAAGTTGATGATAAATACAAAATATACATAAATTTATATATATAAAATAAATACTTTTTAAAACCGGTACATTTCTTATTTCATTCTGAATATAGAAAAAAATATTAAAACTTTTTTTTATTTAGATGATTTCCTTATCTTGGATAATAGTTCAGAACGGCTTATTTTCCATCTATATACGAGTAGATAATATGAAAGATAAATATATACAATCAAGATAATTTGTCTAGATATATTTATTTAGATAAAACACAACACTGACTATAACTCATTTAAAAAAAATTTTCTACCATTTTTAAGGACTATTGATGATAATTTCACTTCACTTCAAAATCTGTATTAATGTTTGATAAACTCAATTGCACTATCAATAAATATGATTAACCAGCAATTAATTATATTTATTTTCTTTTGGAAATTAGTTGAGAGCTTTTGGAATCTTGTTATCAGAAACTTTTAAAAAAATAAAACAAATCGAAACTACAATTTACCTCACACCTAATGAAATCAGAAAAATAATATTAAACAAAAAACAAAATATTTCTATGCAAAATATAATAAATATAATATATATAATAAATTAAATAAAAAAATATTTCTACTATTCTGAACGATACAGGTATAACAAGTAGGATTGGTGTTCTGGAAGATTTAAATTTAAATGAAATAGTTTATTTCAAGTATGCTTTTTTTGTTTGTGATAACGTTTAGCGAAGTTTTCTTAGCACCAGTATTGTACATAGATAACCAAAAAATGATTGTGTTAAAATAACTGATAATTTATTAAAAATTCATCTAAATAAGATAATAAATAACTATTTAAATATTTATCTGGATAATAGACACAATACATCTACATTTATCCAGTTAAAAACAGATAATTTTAAAAAGTTTCATCATTCAGAACTTACGTTTGTAAATGATTATTTGTCTATAAATAAAAAATAAATAACGCATTTTTGGAATAGACATATAGATATAAAAAAAATAATAAAAATCCTTGCTTTTATTTAATTTAACCGGCACATGTTTACCAATAAATGATTATTGTGGCCTTATTGCCATACTCAATATTCACTAGCACGATTTAAGATTTGTACATACTGTATAGCCGTGGTCACTAATCAGTGGTTGGTTTTATTATTATTTATGACTTTAATCATTATAATCCTAGTTTATGAGTCGTTATTTATGGAATGTTCCAGCCAGATTTTGATGTTTATTGACCGTCTATATTTACACTTAACAATTATTATTGTCTATATTATTATATTTCTAGTGTAAGTATTGGACAAGCAGGTATCGATTAAATAGAAAGAAAAAGGTATATCATTATATAATTGAAAGATAATATTTGAAAAACATTAATTTTAATATGTTTTCTATGTAAAAAAAATCATACAACAATACCTATTGATTCGTTTATCGAATATTTCTATTTAACATGTAAAACGTACCTACCGTAGTATCAAGTGTTTTTTTTTTTTATATCTTGTTTCACTTGCCGTAAAAAAATTATCTTATTCAAAATGATCTAGGTAATTTATCTCTGATAACTAATTTATTTAAAAATATAATTAAAATTATATTTAACTACATAAGATAGAACGATAAATGTTTTCATAAAGATAAATCATCTAGATCAGGGGTCGGCAACCCGCGGCCCACGGGCCGCATATGGCCCGCGAAACGATTTTTTATGGCTCGCACAAAAGTGGTTAATTTTTGTGTTTTATTTTTGATCAATAAATTTTTCATACAATTTTCAATACTATTCAATTCTTTTTTCTTTGTAAATAAAATTGTTATTATAATCTAATTGGAGTCGAAGATAATGACGGCTGCACTACTCAGTCATAGGATAAATTAAATATACTTTTTGTTTCTATGAATTATTAAAATTCTTTAATTTTAGATTTTTTGTAAATAATAAATTTACTTTAATACAGTAATATAAACATACCATATCATATATTTACTATTCACTAATATTAGCTGATAAGTTAGGAATCAGAGTCTTACCCAATTACCCTGCTTAATTTTTATTTGCATTATATAATTTAAATATTAGTAACTAGGACATACCAGCATAGCCATAATCATCATCAAATTAATTTACTAACTGAGTAATTTGGTCTTCAATTACTGCAATTACTTGCTCGCTTAATTGATTCATACTTTGTTTGTATTATCCTCCGCCAATTTTAAATTTTTTAACCTGTAATACAAATAATAACATAATTTGAATACATATTAAATCTTGGTCAGTCACTTCTACTACATAGAAACATAGTTTGTATAACAGTAATTTGGGTTGTCAGAAATATTAAATTTGTAATTAATAGCACGTAATTGAAAATCATGCTAGAACACATTTAATTTCAAATATTTAAAATCAAAACTTTTACTGAGTATCAATCACCAATCGTTATTTTGAGGAAGATAGGATAAATTAAGTAATAGTGGGACTTACTTTATCATTTTTATTTTCACTTTTAGCGGTTTTACTTAAATATTCTAATAAATATTTGATTTCTTCCACTGTTCTTACACCTGATGTTTGGTGCAAATTAAATGGTTCAAGAACATTTGACCATGCTTCATGCTTTTCAAATAGATGACCACTAAACTACGTTAATAATAATAAAAAAAAATGGATATATGAACTTACATTGTTTTTTTTATCTTGTGCCTATATAATTTACAAGATTACAAAAAAACATACAATAGATGAACGTTGAAATTAGACCAAGTCCAGAACCATGGATTGTTCCTCATCCGTAAATAGTTTAATGATTTTATATATTAACACCTATTTTAAATACAATGTTTTCTTATATTTTTAATTTCATTAAATATTAAATTATATTATAGTTTTATCATAACTATGTATCAGTGTACCTGACGACAACAATAACACAGGCTAATTCACACATAATTACAACACGTTCTTAGTATTTACCTATAAATTTTAACTTACTTTATCATCACTAATTGATTTTTTTGCTTGCCTTTTGACCATGTCATATAAGGTTTTTAGCTGTTTAGCAATTCTAATAACAATTGTTTGCTGATCATTGTATTCGATAAACAATATCTCCCCATATTTTGCTTTTATGTTTAATGCTAAAAGCATCGGTCTAAAACAAATTTGAATAGATGTAAAATAAATTAATACATCAATATTATAAGTAAGTACACTAATATCATTGTCTTGTTTTGTTTACTAAATTTGTTATAGATACCTTTATGTTTTCAATGATATGTTTGTAGGGATTAATAAGTTCAATGAGCATTTTTTTTCTCTTACATCAAAGTTTTTAGTTCTTGAATTTTTTTTTAACAACATACTTTCATTAACCTTTGACATTTTAAAATTGTCGACAATGGACGGTTATAAAATAACAATACTTACAAATTTTAGAATTAATATAACAATTAATATTCGAAATTCAAATAGGTAAAATAGGTACGAATATGAAATTAATATTAATTTAAAGAATTTGTATTTACTTTTATGAATCATGATAAGAATTGTTTGTTTTGTTTTTATCAAAAAAATATGGTTTAATTTATTTGGTAACCACGGTTAATATTTCTTTATCAAATTGGTCTTTATGCAACCCGAGAATAGTTTACACAATCATTAAAAACCTTACAGAGCCGATAAATTACAGGGCCGGTAGCAAATTTACAGACTGTTCTTTATACAACCCACCATTATATATGTATATATATTTAAATATTAAAATTTAAAATATATTTTATCTATGTATTTAATACATATGTATCTAATATATTTAATCTATGGTCATAGTTACTTTGCGTTTGTAGCAATTAGTATTACACCGCGATTACGCCCATACGTGTGACTGCGTTTGTAATAGTTTCATTTTACAAGTAAATCCAAACATTATAGCGACTAAAAAAAGAAAAAATTGTGATGAACATCATTTTTTAAATAATTTTCGGATTGATTTATACTTTTTCGTCGAAAACAAAGGTAAGCCACTAAATTTAATTTGTCAAAAAGTTAAATTTTTTCTTAAAAGCAATTTTTTCCAGTAACATTCGTATTTTTTACACTCAAATTTCTACGTTAAATAATCAAATATAATAGCAATACAATTATTAATATATATCATATCTAACATTTTTTTTTAATGTGGCCCTTGATAAACATTTGAAAAAAAAATATGGCCCGCGTGGTTCAAAAAGTTTCCGACCCCTGATCTAGATAATGCACAACATTGCTTAGCACAAGTATCACTTTTTCGCCTAATTTTCCGTATCACGCTAAATACTTCTAAATATTTAAAAGGAAGGGGCCAATTTTTCGTCATTTTAAAATTAAGTTGGTTATAGATATAATAAATTATCACGCTAATAATTATTTTCTATAGTATAGAAATATTATGGCAATTAAGTTTTATTTTCATTTTTTGTGATTCAGTAAATACTGCAATAATTTATTTACAATATTTATGAAAAATCTTATTTTAAATGATAAGATCTCGTATTATACTAAAATCCATAGAAAAAATGTTGTACTTATCAAATGTACACTGACCGTTTATACATACATGACAAAAAAGTATTAACTACAGTACGATATTATTATAGTTATTATTAATAATTAATTATATTTATAATGATGGTTATTGAAATTTATGCTGATTACATATTGGTACAAAGTGTTTTCTAAAGTTTGAAATAGGTCTGGCTGGCGTAAAGTACGCGAAATTAAATTAATATAATAATTTTTATAACTGAAAATATGTTTAATATTATTAAAATCTAATATTATGTCTGCAATACATTTTATGAATTTTAAAAATATAATTGCACAAAAATAGAAAAACAAAAATAAGAAAATTCAATATTTATTATAATATAATATAGTATAATTATATTCATTAAATAGTTTGATTGTTATTAATGAATTTCATTTTTAGTAAAATATTTTATTAGTCAAAAACAGTTATTCGTATAACTTAGTAGTATGAGGGTGTTTAAAAAATTACAATAATAGTATAAGAACCATGATAAACTCAACACCAGGTGGTAGCTTATACGTCCGAGTTCACGTAAAACTCTAATATCGTGCTGCTATCTACCGATTAAAAATACAGTTTAAAAGGCTTTTTTTATATATATACCAATAGTTATGTAATAACTCAATAGAAAAAAAAGTTTTTTATATATCAGCAGAAGAATAATTATGTTAATGTTACATGTATATTATTAATGTTATATTGTTATATGTTATATTCCTATTATATATTACCATGAAAATTAAGTAGTTTTACAATGTATGAAATTTTCAAAATAAATATATTTAAAAAAAAGTGTTATTCGAATTTTGGAGCCAAAACAATTCAATGTCGTACCAATAACACGGCTTAAACTAAAATTATTTTATTCTAACGAAAAAAGAACATTTACTAATTAGTAATTACTAAAATGAAAAAAAAAATTGTTCGAATAACGTCTCGAATTACTTGTACTGTCGTGTTAATATATTCATGATAGATTATATCATAGAAGAACATGATAATATAGGTTAACAACAACAAGGGAAATGAACGCACCAATCAATCCGCTTAAAATGCTACATCATCCACACAGCCATCATTCCTCCAATTAGTCTCCCGCATTGATATATTACGTTTAATTAAATATAAAATGTATATTGTACAAGTGCATTTAATGCACTCATACATGGCACTGACAATGGACATCTCGATTCTTCGAACTCCACGAAATAAAACAAAATATAAATCACTAGCGTTTCCCACCGGAATCATCCAGAAAGTCCGAAGTCATAATTACTGGATTGAAAATGAGCCACACAACATGAACACACAGCTATGTCTAAAGAAGACGTATTAATATGCACCGCATGTGAAGTTCTTATCAACATAAAACACATATTTAACGAATACCGCAAATACAACAAGGACGGAAAAAATTCTAAGCTTCCAGAGTCACTAATTACGGTTCGATCGAGATCCACGTCCACTTTCTAACACAATCAAATTTATCGTCACAATAGATCTGACACACAAAATATGAGCATCGGTTTCATACGTTTAAATGTTTACTTTATACCACATACTTTTATGATTTATATTAATTTAATTATATTTTAATAATATTAATATGGCCACTGCTGCCGAGGGTTCTTTTCGCGAAGAAAAATATTGGTTAACGTTTTAACGAAAATACAATTTCTGTAATTATAACTTTGGCGAAAACGTTAAAGAATGTATTTATCTTTTTACTTCCACTCGTACTTACCTTGCTTGGCAACGATGTTGATCTTCATTGCATTTTTAAAATTTTACATTTCTGAATAATAATTCAGTATTTAAAAACTTTTCTATGGAAATTAGAAAAAACTAGTATCACTATTCACATGCATAATTGTATAATATGCATTACATAATACTTATGGTATTATATTCAACAATATATAACGAATACGTTTTATTTTTATTTAATTCGGTGTGGTAAACAATTTCGCAGTAGCTACCGCAAAAAGCCACGGTGGTTTTGCAAAGGACAATATTTTGCTGTGGCGGGTGAAGTAGAGGTAGTGGCTTAAAGCCGCACAGTCAGCCAAAGGATTATGAAAAACACTCGGTACGCTCCGCATGAGGGTCGGAGACGAGACGCATTGTTTTTAATATACAAATATGTCCATATTATTATTATTATTATTATCGTGGTCGGTTGTATATTATGTACATAATAGTACTGCACTACTGCAGTGGCACATGAAAGAGAGATTATTAAAATTCATCAAGTCCGTCCGACTCGACGGGACCCTTTCACCGCGTCTCTGATCGGTAGGCTAGGGGCAGAGGAATGGGATTTCTGTGTGTACTACACGCTGCTCACGCGTACCCGTTGCGACCGTGTTGGAGGATTCGTGTTGACGCGCTGCTGCACCTGATTCCGTGCAGAACTTTATAAGCCGTTTGCTGACGCTGTAATATCGAATGATTAATTTACGAACAATTAGTTAAGCGGGCTCGGTAAAAATGAATATTAAACATTATTACACTAATAACGTGGAGAGAATACCGAACGCCCTCGTGTATATCATCTCTACTCACTACGTGTGTGTGTGTGTGTGTGTGTGTGTGTGTGTGTGTGTGTGTGTGTG